TTCTGTGGGGATGTGTAGGCGGAGCCAGTTTCTACTTTGTATACTGAGGGAACAGCATCATTGTAGCTGGAAGGTGAAGGGCAAGGCAACTCAGAGATGTGTGTCTGCACAAGGAATCCATGGGCTGCAGCATCTTCCTTCCGCAGGAGCAGGAAAGCAGCTTCAGGATTGCCAGTGACAAATGCAGCAACTGTGCAGTGTTCACGTGGCTGCCATTGGGTGTGAGCCCCCCCAGCACAGCTCTGTGCAATGAACTGCTCTCAGTGGCTGGAGAGCAGCATCCAGAGGCGAAATCGCAGCTGACCATAAGCTTGCATAGCCTCTCTGTGGGCAGCTGGATTTCGGGCCAGGAGCTCAAAGAGGTTGAGTGGCTCAACCCCTTGCAGTGCTGGTGGCAAGCTGATCTCTGCAGGAAGCCTCTCATTGCCAAGCACAAAGTGCTCCAGGCGTTTCAACTGCAGGCAGCGGTGCAGGTATGCCATGATGTCCCACAGCCGCCGCGCAAATTCCCTCCTGCTCCACCGGGACAGCGGTACAGTGGTCAGCACGTGCATGACCACTGTCTTCCAGGTAGAGCTGGAAAAACCTGTGCCCCTCAGGATGCAGGTGAAGACCTGCAGGCATTTCAGGTGCAAATTCTCACATGGCACCTGCCTGGCAATGTGACGGAAGAATTTCGCCTCTGCCACAGCGTATGTCTCAGGCCACGCTGTGCTTGCGATGAAGTTGGCCTCAGCAGGCTGGCTGCTCACAGAGATGCTGGAGCTGCCTTTCTGGGCCTCTGTGGGCTGGCTGACCACAAAGATGTCAGAGTCCCCTTGGCGCACCCCAAAGAGCATCTCCACCTTCAGGCTCTTCTTGCCTTTGCTCAGCCGGAATTGGCAGGACCGGCTGCAGGGCTGAAACACCAAGTGCCAGGAGTATGACTGAGGCACATGCAGCCACGAGGACCTCACCAACTGGTGGAACCAGCGGGAGGTTTTCTCCACATCCAGGTAGGAGCCGGTGCAGAGTGTCTCTAGGAGGCTGCGCTTCCGCTTCCGGCACAGCTCCTCCTGCGAGTGGTGCACGAAGCACAACAGCTGCTTGCCCAGCTGCTCCCTCTTGCACGTGCACACCAGCTCCACACGGATGCTGAAGGTCCTTGCTGCCACCTGCCCTGCGCTGTTAAGCTCTGGGTGGAAGGCATGCCCTGGCGGGGGATTCAGCGGGATCAGAACCCGGTACACCCCATCCCACTCACGGGGACTCCAACCCTCAAAGGCACTGCCCACCCCAATGGCTTCTTGAGGCACTGGGTAGAAAGTATTGCTCACGCTGTCCACAAAGACACGCGTGAAGCTTTCCATCAGCTCAGCAGTCACTGAGCGACCTCTCTCCAGGTCCTCCACCGGCCACTCTATGTGATCCACTAAAAGGATGCCTTGCTTATTCCCAGCATCTTGGCCGTCTTCTCTTTCTTCAGTTCCACCCCTGCCACTTTCTTCTTTGCCACCATCACTGCCTTCTTTTTCACTGGCAGCCACACTACCTTGTTCATCTTCTTTTCTGTCCTTGTTCTTGTTCCCCTCCACATTTACACCACCCTGTTCTTCATCCTTGCTTCGATCATCGTCATCTTCTTTTTCAATTTCCTTATTTTCTTCCTCACTTGCAGGAAAACCACTTTTGTCAACTTCCTTCCCACAATCAATTCCACTGCTATCCTCCTGCCCAGTCCAATCACTACTTCTCTGTTCACTGGCATCACTGCTTTCCTGCACTTGCACATCCGTGTATTCTTCCTTTCCATCTACATTGTCTTCACCTTCATTTACATCTCTCTTGCCTGCCTTCATATTTCCACCATTGTTTTTTTCTTCATTTCCATCTCCTTCTTCTTCCTTTCCAGCATCCTTGTCTTGTTCCACCTGCACATCCTTGTTTGATCCTTCATTTGCTTCATCTAGGCCTTCTGTATTTCCAGCAACATTGCCAGGTTCTTCTTCATTTCCTTCAGCAGTATTGTCTCCTGGCACATTCTCATCACTCCATTCTTCATCTTTCTTTAAGTCACGGCCATTGTCACTCTTAACATCACTGTCTTCCTTCCCCTTCACCTCATCATTGCCTTCAATGGCATCATCGTCGTCTCCCTCATTGGAAGCCACAGGACTGCCTTCTCTGTCATTTCCACTGCCGCCGTCGTCTGCCTCCACAGTCACGTCAATGTTTTCCTCGCCTTCCCTTGAATCAACACTGTCTCCTTCCTGTTCTTTCCCTCTCTCATCTCTCAAGGTCTTGCAGGAGCTCTGGTCCTTGCCGCTGCTGCTGGCTTCACGGCTCCTTCTCCTGCAGCTAAACCACAGGCCCAAGAGGAGCAGGACTCCAGCAAGCACCCAGAATGGCCACTGCTGCAGAGCACCAACGAGCACGGCTCCCCAGCCCTCGTCCTGCTGCTCCGGGAGCCCCTGCTCCAGCTCCTGCAGCAGCCGAGCCATCTCGCGGTCCAGCAGCTCCTGACGCTCCTGCATTCGCCGGTGCGTGGCCTCATCCAGCCCATCCCCAGCCGGCTGCGGGTACTGGATCAGGCTTTGCACGAGCACGAAGAGCAATGGTAATAAAGCCATGGTCTGCAGGAGGACACACAGAAGCTGTTCAGTGGGACCAGAATGGAGACAGACAGTGGGGAGCAGGAGCCGCAGGGATGTGGCGGCAGGAAGGAGAGGGCCCCGGCAGCTGGCAGGTGGCACGGCCTGCATCGCTGTCCCCACAAGCGCCGTGCCCCGAGCAAGGCGCTCCCGCCAGGGGCTGGGCCCTGGATGCAGGGACAGAACTCGTGCCCCGGGTGCCAGCGCTTCTGCCCCAGTCCAGCCCTCCTCCAGCCCTGTCCCCACTGCGTGTGCACTCACCGCTTGCCCAGGCTCTACTGGGGCAGCGGGGCTCGCTGGGGCCTTTTATAGCTGTCCCCATTGTGACACGGCCCCTGTGCTGTCACAGAACCCAGAGCGCATCACAGGCCAGCCCCACCCGCCGTCCCCAGCCCGGCTCAGGGAACTCATCATGGCCCTGGGCACCCAAAGCCCCAACAGACACCAAGTGCAGACCCATCCTCAGGAACTTTGTGTTGTAAATGAGGCTTGGACGTTTTGGTGAAAATAAAAGTCAACTCATTTATTAAACAAAAGAGAAATGCCAACGAAGGCAGGACCCCAGGATAAGCCCAAGCCCCACTCAGCAAATTGGACAAACAGCCATACAAGTACACCAGGTGCTCCCTCGGGCACTGAATTCTGCAGGAAAGCCCCAAGTGAAGTCTCATGGCCACCTTTGTAGACCCCCTCTGTCCAGGATTGGTCCGTTTATGATCCCCTCTCTGATTGGCCCATTTCCAGAACTCTCATTGGTCCTCAATGGGGTGCACTCCACACCAATCATTTCTCCAGGCTGTCGAATGATTGGTCACCTCTTCCACCAATGGTTATCTGCGATACAGATGTCACTCCTTGAGGTCCTTCTGGAATGTTCTCTTGGTTTGCTGAGTCCTCCATACTGCTGAACAATACCCTGTTCAGCCCTGGGCCGCCCTGAGTCACCCCTGGTTCCATATGACCGCACACACACCAACCACCGGACTTTACCCATTTCCCGTATAGAACCACGAAGACCTGAACTTCCTAACAACAAATACTAACCATTATTTAAAAACATATATTAAATAACAATTAACTTATAACCTAACAATGAATTAACAATTAACACTTAATCAATTTGTTACAACTGTTGATCTACTTATAACACTGGGAACCCCTGAGCTTCCCTTTACAAAGCAGGCACAAGTCCCCTCCTACACAACCCTTGTCAAATATAAATTTGGGTGGCATGACTCATGGACGTTCTCAGTATACAGGTATAAGCTTTTATTTATTATTCAAGGGGGAACTTTTTTACTATTAATATTGATATTTATTACTGTAGTGGTGCATCACCCCTCCCCTGCTTCTTTCCAGGCTGCAGTGTGATCTGAGAAATACCTGTTAGGCCTTGGCCTTGATACATCACCTGGGATCAGCTCTTTCTTTTTTTTGGGCAATCTCAAGCACACTCATTCGTGACAACTACTTTGGGGGCAGTATGTCATATTAGCTAACATTTATTTACTGATTTAGTGAGAAATAAAGAAATCCATATTGCTTGAATGATGCACAGGAAGTTGTGACATCATCCAGTCTTAAAGCTACACTTCTTTTACACCAGCACAGTCCTCCCTCTCAGATCTTTTGTGAAAACTAAGATGTCAGGTTTCTCTCCTGAATTAGGAACATTTCTGACTGACATAAGATCACATATGACCAACTTATGGTTTGCACAGCAGCATAAAAACCTTCAGGCCCATACAAACTACTTCTTGCACTAGAGATGGCTGATCAATAGCCTGGCTGAAGAATGGGCTTCTGTAGTCATGAAATACAAGTTTAAAATGGAAAAGGAAAAGTCCTTAAAACATAGAACTTCTGAAGCTTAGCCCATTCCACTCTAACGTGCCCTCCCCCAACACATAAAGATGTGTTCCTCCTGGCACTTGTTGCAACTGGCTACTCTCTAGCATGACAGCCATCCTGAGAGAAAATCTATTTTGTATGGGGTGTAGACATGTCTGCATTTAGATACCATCCTCAGTACAAACCTCCTCCCTTGCTTTTTTTCTGATTGGCCCTTGCTACTGGGCATGATGGAGCAGTTTATTGGGAAGAATTTCTCTGATGCTGATCACAGCACAGCGGAAGATTTTCGCTCCCTTCAGCTTCTCAAATTCTTCTTGAATGATTTCTTTATCAGTTTTGAGGGCTGATGGAGCACAGAATGTCTGAGTAATTGCCTTTCTCTTCTCCACTCATGACACGAGAGCTGGAGGCACTCAGAAAACATGATTTTCTGAACCATCTTATAAAATAACAATCAATGCCTTATAAATACTGCTGTCTAGATGAGGTCACTATTGAACAGCTTCACATCCCAAGTGGTACCTCGCAGGGAGGGAAGCAGAGGAAGACAGGATCACAACAGCCACAGATCAGTTATTCACAGGCATCACCAGGAGGAAACAGGAGAGAGCCATGAATTTCACATGCGACTGTGTTTCAGCAACCCATATTACCCTGCTCCTTTTAAGTCTCTTCTGATGACAAGCTTCCAGTCCCATCACAGTGCTCACCTGAGGCACCTGAGCAACTAGGATGAAGAATAGGAGGGAAGATTTCTTCTGACCTCCAGTCACTTGAGCATCAAGCAGACAAGAAAACTTCTGCCTTATTCTAAGGGAGGTGGCTTATAGACTCACCTGTAGCTGAAGCTATTCTGAAAGCCCACATTACTAGACCCAGAGTGATAAAGAGACTATGAATTCGTTGACCCTGGGGAAAAGGCAGCTTTAAATGTACTCTGCTACTCCCACACTCTCTCCTTAGAACTTCAGGCTGAAATGCCTAGGATCAACTAAAGAAAAAAGCAATTTCTTTCATGCCCTGGTCAACCATTTCCCAGTCTCTTGTCCCTCCCAATGCACCAGCCAGTGAAACACAGAAAAAGCATGGTAGACTTCCTGTAGAAATACTGGCAAAATCCTCCTAGACTACATTATTTGAAGGACCTGAGGTCACCTCACTGACTGTGAATCCCTTTAACTGCTCCACTTAGCCTACCACCTCAGCTCAGCTCAGCTCAGCTCAGCTCAGGTCAGCTCAGCAACCACCCAGCTTCCTTCAGCTGCATAAGCCCATGACCTGCAAACAGAAAGGCATGAGTCTTATGAAAGGACAGACAAGGAAAATGAAGTGTGGGGATTAGTCCACACTCTGAGGAACAGGCAACACTAACCAAACACTCTGGCAATAACTTGTCTAGGAGCAGTGTACCTTCAAAACCCACCTCAGGGGTTTGGGACTTGTGCTGACTTGCACAAAGGAACCCGTTCCACCCTGCAGCAGTGGGTTTCTTCTTTCCAGCCTGGATGGAGACATGTTCAGCATTTTGCAAGCATGTCCAGGTGTTCAGAATAGAACATGATGATCATATTTAGCTCCTTAAGGCATGCAGCTCTTCCTTTCTCAAAGTATGCATTGTGAAATTATAGGCTATCCCTACCTTTCCAAACAAATTACCCTCATTATATTCCACTTGCATTCAAAATTTTGCCACTCCTACATTTCAGACTTTGCCTCCCTCAAAAGGATGCACAAATGGTTAGAGTAGTTGCAAGCACCTGCACCTGCAATTTTCAACTAACTGCACCTTCAGAAAGGTTTCTGACAACATTCTCTGAACATGAACACAGCACACTGAGGCAAGACAGATGACTTTGCTCTATCTTATAGCCCAGGTCTCTGTGGCTGGAGACACAGCCCTTGAGAAAAAAAATGAGAAAAAAAATAAATTCAGGGTATGTATTTTTACCAAATGAAAATGAGCTGTCTGTTGTAGGCTCTCATTCCATTTAAGAGCACAGTTGCATATACCTGAAAAACAGGTTTGTAAAGGAAAGACTTCCAGACACTACTTTATAAGAATTGATAAGAGGCACCACTGTGTTGAAGGCACACATAACAGCCCAATTAAGGATGGGTTTCTTTCATTGTAGTCACATGCAATTTAAAACCATCTCCTTACTTGCTTTCTTTGGTAAGATTCATTGTGAATTTTTCCTTCTAGTAAAATGTAAATCATTGTTTTATATTTATGTTTCTCATGAATTTGCAGTCACTTTGTAGCCATTGTTACTCTCAAATTAGATTCCTTAACCATTGAAAAGATGAAGGACAGCATGGTCTGGGCTGAAGACAGTGATGTCAAAAATCAAAAAGCATGGGTTGTTTTCACCATCCACATCTATTACTATTTTGGCAAATGAATTTTATTGTGTTTTGACTATTACCTATAGATTTTATTGGTTAGCATATTAATATTTTTTTTCTTTGATTCTGCCAAGAAACCCACTCATTCTAATTCTTAATGACAACACCTTTCCTCTTTATTTATGTCTTATAAGTTGTAAGCAGAAAACAAATTGTCGGTGAAAAATCTTACCTTACTATTCTCTATTTTCCCTCTTTCTCTCTTCCTCAGCATGACTGAAACAGTTTATTTAGTTCAGTAGTCCTGGAAACAAAGATAAAAATTGTCTTAACAATTCTGATAGCCATCAGTTGTTCAGCAGACAACATAAGACTGTTTTATCTCCTAATTACTCAGGAAAGTACAAGTTGCACTTCCAGGGCTTTCCTGAAGTGCAGTGAATTTCTATTTTAGTTGTACATGCATTTTTTTGCTTCTAGAGAAACAAGAAGATAGTAGAAAAGTCTTCCATGGGAACCACTATGCAGCTTCCTGACCAACAGGTTTTGAAGTCTGTGATCCTGAAATCTGACTTCATTAAGAGTAAATACAAACAGCTACAGAGCTGCAATGAAGACAGTGAAGGTCTCCTTGAGTCCGTGCATTGTAATATAGATGATGGTAATGGGAGAGCTAAAATAAAGTGCTTGTAAATCCGCAATATAAAATCAACATATGAAAGGAAGACCTGAAAGATTTAAATCTGTAGGAACAAAACCTGATGGCAACTTTGTTTCAT